TGAGGGTGTGATTTATCTCACTTGACCTTACACTACATTCAATCAGGATTCCCTTAACTTTTAAATTTAACTTTTAAATACAGACATTTCCAGAGGCCAATTTATCTCATTCAAAAATAGGCTGCCAAAACAGCTGGCATGAATGACCCTCAGCTATTCTCTTGAATAGCTCTATGAGCTGCTGTAACTAGTTCAAACTTCAATACTCACTCTTAGACGTCTGAAGATTAAGAAAAGAAAAATCTAGTCCTTGTTTGCACATTTTCCCATCTCAGGAATTGTACCAAAGAGAAGATTTCAATTACTGTTGGGATCCATTCAAAGCCCATGGCAGTCTGCATCAGGCAGGTGCAGCCTCATCTCCTCATGCAGATGACAAACCCTGATTTCAAAACTGAACGTAATCTCAAAATCTTAAAAATGCAAGGAAAATACCAGTAAAATTAGGCAGCTATTTTTATTTATGTTCACTATGTTTATTTTTCACTCAGAGCCATATAGTCATAAGCATGCCCATAGGAGCAATGCAAAGTCAAAGCAGCTGCCTAACTTGGCTAAAAAGAGGCCTCTGGTGGTAGCTGTGAAGTATGACTTCTCATAGTTCTATGAAATATGTATTTAATGATCATTTTCTATATAGAAACAGCTATAGAAAGCAGACCAAGCAGTTAGATGTGCAGTGAAAATTCTGACACATTACTGCTCATCTCCAAAGCACTAACCATTTCAGCTCAGCCCTCTTCATGCCTACACCACAGTGGTCAAATGAGCCTTAAAGTTGCATATATTTTCATTTAAGCAAAGCATCTCATTCTCAAATAGCTCCATTGAACATTTCAGTGTTAACGTTATTTCATTACTAAAGATAATAACAATTAAGTTAAGGTTATGATGCCTGCTTATTCCCCAACACCAACCATGAAGGCTCCTTGACTTTGTTTTAAAAAATTACATAGACTGGCAAGGAAAATTCACAGAAATATCTCTATATAAGAATGCCTCATTTCTTGGGTAAGCATAAGAATAAAATAAGCCTGCAGAGAAAAACATATTAGACTGGCAAATGCATAGAGCATGCATAAATGCATACGACTTGTGTAAAATTCAATTCCATTATTAAATTTTCATGGCATTGACCCACAGGGAAAACAAACATTAGAGACATTATTGGGAACAATCACACAGTCTAGAAGGAGCTCGATAAGGCTCCCTCCCTTCTAGAAAGATCCAGCAGACAGAAAAATCATAATAACGTGGAGAATTGTAACAGGTAATGTTGGGAGAAAAGCCATGTGAACAAAGACATGCAGCAGGCCAAGGACTAAAATAACAGATCTCAAAAGACACCAGTCCCAGCAGTAAAACTGAGGGATGTGTTTTTACATCAAAACCCAAAGTCTTGATCAAGTCTTGTTCTCTGGCAAGATCACGCACAGACTCCCATCAGCAGAGGACCCTGCATCCCAACACCAACAGAATGGCGATAAGGTTGCAGCACATCACATACACCATCCTTTTCCTCTGCGTCCAACAGGACCAGGAGATGACAGACAGACATTTCAAACATATGTAAGACAAGGGTAAACAAAAACATGGCCTGAGACTTACGGAGGCTGACAAGTAACAGTCTAAGGCAGAGGGCAGCTCTGTAACAGCTGATGATTTGCTTACGGGTTGGTTTGGAGCACAATCAATCCCATTACCTGTTAAGAGGCTGCAAAAAGGAATTAAGCAGATGGATGGACAGCTAAGAACTTTCTCTGGCATGGTCAACTTTGCTGCTACTCTCTTGGTCCTTGACATTCATCTCGGAAAGGGAATAACTGCAGTACAGCAACTCCCATCACCGGAACAGAATCCAAAAGCCATGGTCATCTGCAGCAACTGCACCACATAGTTCCCTTTGGGGTGAGGCTACAGCAAGCAGCTACAACTATAGCTTCCATCTTTTTAGTTATGCTGGTGATTACCTTAAGAACTGCCCAGGATGCAAATTAAGTTTAAAAGTTTCAGTGTTGCATGGTACCAAATACAAACCACTAATTATTTTCAGCTGAGCAAAACATTCAAGATCTGCAGAAGAAGATAATTTAATATTTCTCCCATCAGACTGGCCAGCCTGCAATCGTACTAACACAAAAGCATTGCTAAAAACATTTACTATTTGTTATTTATTATCATAAATAGCTGAACTGCCTAGCCAATACGCACTGTATTTCTCTCAAAATAATACACTGTTAATTCTTAACACTAAACCCATTCACAGATTTAAAACAGGTCTATCTGTTCCATCTTTTCATGTATGCCACAGTTACCTTGCAAGATGTTCAGTATAGAAGACTGTAAGGATCAGCCTGGTTCATAGTTTAAACAGGTTTCAGTAATGTCCAGGTTGTAAAGGGGGGGTTGCAGGAGCAACTCAGCCTCAGGTTGCCTTGAGGCCCTGTCTCTGCAGAGATGACCCATGGGGAGCTGTGTAGATGGCTCAGCCCTGAGTTGTCTGGTAAGCACAAAACTGAACAGGGCAGTGCTGCATCATTCAAAGAACCGAAACCTGAGTTGAGCCTTGAAAAATAGTATGCTCTGAGTCCCAATCAAACCACTATTAAATTGCCTAAAAGTAAAACAAAGGTCAGCTGGAGGATTTCTGTCTGGTTCCAAGGGACCATGACAATACAAAGATATTCAAGAGATAGAGCATACAGAAGGGAACAACATCCATGAATAAAGATAAGAGTAAGCACTGTTCAAAACACACCCCAGGTGGTCTAATCTACTCAGACATGCCCCTGCCTGCTGTGCACGCCAGAGGATAAAAACCCTAAGATCCATGCTAGAAATGGGGAGTTACTTCTCCAGCCATGAAGTGATGAGAACTTTCTCCCTTGGCCTGGATGCTGACGAAGGTAACTTACGTGGGAGCCCTTACCTGGAGGGGTAAGTGAATATTTGGCAGGCTTTTAAGTTTAACCTTCACAAAATATCTATTTTTAAAGTAAAGATTTGTAAAACATTGTACAATTAAAGCTCTGCACTTCCTATGTGCAGCTGCATTTTTCCCAATGGTGTTTCAGTGCAGGTCAAATCAAACCTAACTGCTCTTTCAAAGAGATGATTTGTTTTCATAGGATGACTCAAATGAGCTCAAATCTTTGCAGGAGGAAAAAAATAGCTACAATAAAAAGAAATAATTTTACTTTACTAGAAGGGATTATAAAGGATTTATCACTGCCAAAGTTTCTTTTCAGATTGATGACAACAGCTCAACACATGTCATTTTTTTACAGATTTAGAAAGAACATCCAAGTAACATGAAATACACCGCAAACAAACACTGAAAGCAGTTCAACTGAAAAGATCAAATTTATATGAGGGAACACATAGTTATGTGTACACTTGTTACACATCCACAACTGGACAACAGGACACTGCCAATAGCAGACACACAACAAGGACTTGTCCTCCCATAATCTGCTCCATCCAGTCCCACTGGCAAATAGTCCCTCAGACAAATATCACAGTAAAATACATCCTGAGGAAAAATACAAGCTTTGCCATAAAGAAGCAGACCAATGGCTTGTCTTTTATCACATTTAACCCGTTTATACTTTGCCTGACCAAAGGTAAAGCCCTTACCGAACAACTATACAATGACAAAACACTTGTCTACAGGATACTTTAAACATATAAATGTATAGTCAGATAAGGATGTGTGCCTGATCTGCCCTATTTAAACATCTGTACAATCTGTTGGACAGCAGTCAGGCAGACTCATTGTTTCCAAGTAGCTCAACAACAAATGGTTTCATGGAAGAGACTTCAGACTCGTTTTCCTGAGGTAGCTATTGAAAAGACCTGTCTAAGAGTGCTCCCAAAGCAGCAACACTAATATTTGTTTTGCAGAACCTAAGTTTATTCATGTATTTATACTGGTAAAATTACACAGGAGTAAAAATGAAAAATTAAAGAAAAAAATATTACAGGTACTGTAAATAATGCACACAAAAATTGCTAATTCAGGACAACAGAAAAAAATTAGATAATAATCAGGAGTGAGGAAATCAAGTTTTCCAGATACAAGGTTTAGCTTTAATGACATCCAATTTGTTAGGTAGTGTTTTGGCTTTGGTTTTTAGTTGTGTTTTTTGTTTGTATTTCCCAAATGGCACTTTAAAAGTGTACCTTGGGATTCTTACCTACATTTACAAATACTTTTGGGAAATACTCCCACTTCCATTTCCTTTAAGGTCTTTCCGCACAATAGCCCTTAGCTGCTGAAGAAAAAGCAGTATGAGGTGAAAGGGTACATCAAAAGTACAATAACCACTTCCCATGGTTTCCCAGTAAAAGGCAATTCCAATTCCAGTTTCAGCTGCTCATTGCTTTGAAAGAAATTTTCTGCAAAAATGAAAGACTCCCATAGAGCAGACAAGGACTTCACAGTACCCAGGAATTTCAAACCAGATAGGCTGAGAATAGTAAAAGCTGCTTTTTTCTCCACAGCCCAAGAATTCATATACCTTAAATCAAAACACGTATTTCTAGAAATATGGATAAACAAAACTAAGGCATATTATTGCAGACCTAAAATTAGATAAAGGTTTTAGTGTAAAACAGCAGGGAAAAAAGTGAAAGATTTCACCTGCTTCTTTCAGACCCAAAGACAGCAAAGATGATAGAAAGAGAAAGAAATAATGAAAAAGGAGTTTTCAAGCAGAAGACATTAAATTCTGCCCTCTACTTCAATGCAAAGAACATGTATTCTAACATTATTTTGAACCCTGAAACATAATTCTCTTTCAATGCTAAAGCAAATGTTTGATCCATGTACTCTTCATATATGACACAGAACAAAAAATACAGAATATATGCAATACAGAGCTAAAACATAGGTCTTTAAAATATTAAAGAACAAAGTCACCATTATTTGCATTTAAAAAGTTATTAGTGGGTTTTTTTGATTTGTTGTGTTTTTAAATTACCATGCATCGTTTCCTTACCTTGCAAACGGTCTCTGTATCCCAAGGTAAGATGGTTCTCAGGTCAATAACTTCACAGGACACACCAAGCTTTTCTTGAGCCATTGCTGCCACCTCTTTGATCACATGTACCTGAAAAAGTAACATATTAGCACCAAGTAAATGTTTAATTTCTATTTAAGCTGTTCCAAATTACTTATACTGAACATAAGCAGTGATTTAACATATTACCTGCACGTTCAGCAAAAACCTTTTTATTCAGTAATCTAATAAGCATTTATTACTCTTTCTTCTCATTTACCACTTACCTGCTAGTAATATTCCTAGCATTACAGCACACTTCAAAAACTACAGTGAAGAATCACTAAAAACAAAACTGTTGCTTTCTAGAGAAGTATCTTTCGGTGAACAGTATCAGGCCTCACTGTTTTATATTTGTAATCAGTTTGGGGTTTAGGATAAGGATTTTTTAGGACTGAAGCTAAACTAAGACTCAAACATATTAAAGTAATGCATTTTGATGTAGCAGTCACATGGACTATCGCAAGAAGCATTATGCACATACACAAATAGCCCTACACTACACAAAAACAGCCTAACCACACTTACCACAATTTTTTGAAAGTGCAATAGATTACACCAAGTTATCATCTCCCAAAGCATTATCCTATGAACAGTTATAGTAAGTACCACAAAAAACTACTTGTAAAAATCCAGTCTAATATAAGAATATGACCATTCACCGGTCTTCCAACACAGTTTAATACCAATGTTACAAATGTTGCATTATCTGATTATTACAATTAACGTTTTACTAAAAGCCAAAAGCATTCTCCTCTAGCAAGAGGGTTGTGCTGAATTAGAATCCACGATACTCACTATCCACCAGCCAAGGAATGTATTTAGCAGCATATGTAATTGCTTCAAAAGTAGATGTAAAACAATCGACACATAATAGCACCCTTTTCACAAGATACGTTACAATAAGAATAGAAAATAAAGTAACACTACACACATTCAAAACTGTATCTTGGCATTATGTCATACAACATTTTTAAGTATTGGCTTCCCTAAAACAAATGTTAGCAAGCAAATACTCCAACATGGAAAATAACAACTGCTACGACAGTTCAGATTATCCTCCACAAACATCAGAAAAATGTATTTGCTCATGAGATACGAGAGCAAAAAAGAGCTTTTCTATACGATGCTGTCAATAAACTCTGATGTTTTCCTTATTGTTTGATAATACAAGTTTGGACTGAGGCAGATGACCTCCACCAAGCAACTTCTAGGCATAGGTTGGAGGCCAAGGACCATCCTCAATAAGCAATTTAGATGAGGTCATCTTGGTTTGAAAGCAGCAGAACTTAACAATATGGACAGTCAGGCACTGTCAGTGGCCTGAGGGTCAGAGAGCAGTATTAAATTCTACACAGAGCAAAAATCCATGCCGAAACACAATGACTAAGGATTAAACACACATCTACATAATGCAGATATGGATAGCTAAGCACCAAAGGACTATTTTAAAAGGTAAATCAATACAAGCATTGTAACAATAATAAGATTGCAGTGTTTTTGTTCAAAATTCTAATACATCTGTAGCTGTAATAAGAGTGTTTAAGAATTTTCAACATGACACACAGGATGCCTTAGAGAAGGCTCCGGGGAGACCTTATTGCAGCCTTCCAGTTCCTGAAGAACAAGAAAGCTGGGGAGGGACATTTTACAAAGGCAAGGAGCGACAGAACGAGGGGGAATGGTTTTAAACTGGAAAAGCAGAGATTTAGACTGGATATTAGGAAGAAATTCCGTACTGTGAGGGTGGTGAGACACTGGCCCAGGTTGCCTAGGGAAGCTGTGGGTGCCCCCTCCCTGGCAGTGTTCAAGGCCAGGTTGGACGGGGCTTGGAGCAGCCTGGGCTGGTGGAGGTGTCCCTGCCCATGGCAGGGGTTGGACTGGGGGGGCTTTATGGCCTCTTCCAACCCAAACCACTCTGTGTCTCTCTGATGTGTAAGTGTGAATGTTTACCTCATTCACAGGATATAAGGATTAGTTAATGACCATAAAACACTGAGCACAAATGGAGAGGAACTAAAAGCCTTCACTGCCTCTCATTAGCACTACCCAGGAAAGCACTGGGCAACCCCACCAGAGCAGAAGCTGCTAAGCAACTACCTGACACCTGAAATCATACAAGAAGTAACCAGTGAGTACATGCAATCGCTCTGCCTATCGACAATAAACTCTGGACCGGTCGCACATTTAGGAATCGAGTTCCAGGTTTATGTACACAGCCCACAAACCACCTAAGCACAAACCCACTGAACGTATTTGATCTGCAGGAGCCTGACACATTCAGAACATGCTGGATTTACTGCATTTGCACTAAACATCTGTCCCCATGCTGCCTTGTACCGACACACCCATGGTTTGGTCAGCTCCTAAATTTGGAGTCAGACTGAACATCTGTCCTGTTACTATTCACATCAAAAAGGGACACAGAGAACTATAGAAAATGGTTTATGCTGAAGAAATGAGTGCAAGTAAAGATACTGAAGCAGTCCATAATTTGATACCAGTGCAATGGATCAGAGACTAGCAGGAATAGCTATAGATATAAAGATCAAGTAGTATGAGGGCAAGGAAGCTATCACAGAAAAGCACTGAAAATTACAGATTTCAAAGAAATAAAATAATAAAAAGGCATAACCACAGACATTAATTCAATGCTTTTGTGATGAAAGTTACAACACTGCCTCCTCTAAAAGCTTCTCAGATATAATTAGGCCAGGAAAATAGTAATTTCCTTAATAATAGGCAATACAAAATATTGTCCTGGTAATTCCAAACTAGACTCAAATTTCTTTAATTCTTGAAAACAAACATTTTTTTTTACAACATTTTGTAATATTTGCATTATTTTCAGAGGGGTAGAAAGGGAGGGGATGAGATGTCCAATCATACTGTTGAACAGCTTTGAAATATAACTGTTATAATCAAAACTATATCGATCTCTATTTGTATTAAATGTTCAGTGGCTTTAAACTCTTTGTATAAAGGGAACCTCAGACTGCACTTTTTTAAATCCATATTTTTCTTTCAGCACACTACTTTGAACTCACCTTTCCTATTACTTCTCTCAGGGTCATATTTCACTGCCTCATTCATAAATATACAGCTTTCATAACCATGGATAAATCATCAACCTCCAGCCTAGGTACCTCTTCCACATTTCCAGAGTCAGCTTCAACCAAAAATTAGTTCAACTTAACACAATAAAAAGCAGGTTTCATATAAACATAAACACTGGCAGTCATTTATTCAAGCATATAGTGATGGAAGATGCACACAGTTTATTGTATTATTATTATCATTATTGCATGCTTTAGCCTGAATGCAAAACTACTCAAACATCACTTAACCCTGTTCGGATCGATTTGAATCCTTATCCTCAGCTTTGCTAGATGACAAATACCTTGTAAGAGCCTCACTGACCTGAGTGCCCCAAGCAACCAGGGTCACATCACTGCCCGTCTGCAGCACCTCAGCCAGAGACAGCGGAATGGTGTAGGGCTCCACAGGAACTTGTTCCACTGAATAAATAAAAACAATGGGAAAAACAAGCATTAGATTCCTTTACCATTCAATGTTATCCCATAAAAATGCCCACTAACAATTTTCTAGAATGTTAATATCATCTGAAACAATGGACCAAAATCATATTGTTAGCATTTATTTCAAAGATTTAGCTATAATTAAAAATGTTTTTAATTACACTGTTAAAAATACATCCAGTGTAGTGTTTAATTTAGGTCAGATACCACAGCACTAAGATACACATATACACAACAACGATAGTAATAAGACCTGGTGTATCCCAAGTCAAAATATCAGCATCAGATTTGGAGATGGACACTGCTACGACTGATAAAAAAATCTTAAGGAAATGCTATAGTTAATTCTAATAGGGATCAAGAAAGCCTTAAAATTATACTTTAATACTCAGATGAGAAGAAAAAGCTGTGCCAGTGCCCTCTTGATATCTGCCAAGAATGATGCTCCACAGTTTTATGTCTAAAAGGAGGATAAATGTTTTCAGAACCTACACAGAAAACATCACCAAAACCTTGTGATTATAGCAGTTTTAAATTGGTCTAAATATTTTTGCTTTTGAAAAAAAAGTTATCTATTCAGAAAAATACATCACAATTACAGATATTAGACAAAAATTAAGCACCTTGACTTCTCTTAAGACATTTAAAGGTGGTTCCAATCAAAATTAAGATCTATTCACTTGTTTTCAGAGGGAAACACATTGGGCCAGTTTAGTTTCAAATAAACACAGTAATGCACTACACATTGACTGGTTTAATGATTAAAACTGTCATAAAAAACATCTACATACTGTATTTCAAAAGAAATATTGTTTTGATCTAAACGTGAACTTGTTTATGCACCAGCAAGTCAAATAATACTTCTTAAAATAAATCCCAGTGATAAGTAGGGGTGAGGGGGAAATCTTGTTCAATTCTTTCTAAATACACAAAACCAATTTATAAATGTGGCACTCTCCTTTTTTTGTTACCGTATTTCATAGTTCATGAAACAGCTATTAGTTTCCTACTGACACA